AACTAAAGGTTTTTTAGATTCCCAGATTTATGGTTTTATAATTTTATCAAAATAGCTATTTAAACTTATAGACCTTAATTATTTCAAATAACTTAGAAAAGCTTTCCGATTTGACAGTAATAAATAAAAGAATATCCTTTACAATCTATTCAACTAATGCTTCTCTAAGAGAATGCTCACCAGACTGAGAAATTACAATGATTGAATCTTCAGAACTAAGAGCTGGGATATTCTTATTATGAACATTAATAAAATGATTGCACAGATTGGATGTACCACTATTATTTACAGTAAGGTACTTGGTTTTTGTTGTGCATAGGCTGTATTTGAATTTTTTTTTACCATCTTTATCAATAGGAGGTTCAAAATAAAGCCATACTGAAGATGAATTTGATAAATACAAATTACTAGCAGATGCTATTATTCAAAATTAGAAGAGTGATTTAATTTGCAGATTAGTAGTTTTTATTGGTTTAAAACTTTATTATTTTAAAGAAAACAATTCGCTAATGAAGAAATTATATATGCGATATTTATTATGATGAAAATATAGCTTTTCTAAGTAGGTGTGCTTTTTCTATCTTATATTATAATCTTATTACTACTATATTAATAACTTATTGCAAATGATCATACATAATGGTTGTGTATAACTATTGTGCATAATGATATGATCGTATAATAATATGATTCGTAGAATGATGTAGTGATTATTAAAAACAGAATTTTTGTGATTAGTAATCAAAGTCTGGGTGAACTAATATTTCATATATAATTTGCTGTGATTTGTTAGCATCGAGGCAAAATAGATTACAGCTTCTGTCTGGTAATCTTGTATGAAAATTAAACAACAATCATGCATTATGGTTAGGCGTAAAGATTAATGATCATACAAATAACCATGCATAAAGATTAAATAGAAAATATGCATAAAAAATATGCATGAAGATTAAATACAAGATTATGCATAATCATCACGCATGAAGATTAAATATAAGATCACACATAATGATCGCTAAAGATTAATACAAGACTACGCATAATGATCATGTATTACTGTCGCGCATAATGATTAAATACAAAATCACAAAAAATAAAAGGTTTGCTAATTATTTTTATATCAATAAACATGTTATTTAATGTATAAATTCAAACAATTTTTATTATTAAATAAAAAAATATGACAAGTTATTGATATACGGATACCAAACAACTAATATCTTATAATCGTAAATACTTTTTATTAATTTAAACTACTTACTCTAAATACATGTTTATTTGAATAATAAATTTATTTAAGTACTATATAAAAATTAAATGGTTTTTCTGAATACTTCAATTAATTAAATTACCCAAGTGAATAAAATGAATTAAAAATTATGAATGCAAATCTAAACTTGGATAATTAATTCTAAATAGAATAAGATTTATTAGTAATATCATAAATGCAAGTCTTTATAATCTGATTTTAATATTTCGAATGATAATTGATAATCTAATAATAATGAGCTAGTGAAATATTTATCTATTAAATAATATTATTACCAATTACCAAGTACTGTATTTGTTCGGGTTTGACCCATTTGTAGGATTCTCTTCATTTGTCTTATTTACAATTTTTCGTAAAAGACATTTGTATCACTCAAAATTTGGATTGAATGAAGGAGGTTTTTTTTACTAAAATCATTTAATTAGATTAAAATTTCACAAATATAATATTAAAAACTTAAATAAAATTAAATTTCAAAATGACTATTTGAGCAAGGGATTGTAAGCCACTACTATCATTATTGTGATTAACTTTATCAGGCATAATTGATGAACAAGGCTCATGCTTAGAAATTGAACTTTCATCAAATTTACAACAGGACCAGACCCTATTTTACAACAAGATTTTACATGTCAGGATACAAATATAAGAATACATATAAAATGATAATGCCAATAGCTAATATCATTTTTTGCATGATAATATAGTCTTGAAAGAGTTATCTTAACATGTTCGATTTCAAATACTAGCCGCTGCATATATCCAGAAAACTCATTTCCAAGAGTAAGCAGTGTTGCATCTTGAAATTTTGTAAGGTTAAATTGCATTTCTATATATCTTAATATTTGCTAGTCCTGAATATAGAAAAGTGTAAAGAGGATTCTAACCTGTTATTTAATGACTTGTTAGAATACAGCGTTTTCTCAACTCAGTATGTTTGATCAAAAAAAAAAAGCTAATGTTAAAAAAATTACATTACTTTCAATTATATTAAAACATATTCTCCTTGTTCTCAGTTCTGAATAATATGCAGAATATATTAAATCTGTACTTTTTAACCTCTTTAAAAAATATTTTAACTTAGCTAAAAGTTAATACAAACCCAGTGTCAAATATTTTTGTGCTAAGTTCCAAAGTATTGCCTAGAAAACTGGAAAAAGAAAACTGTTAATTTCGCTGATACTACTTTTATAATCACAATATTAGGATTCTATGTACTGAATCCAAAGAGTATAACACAGACCTTTCTAATCCAAATGTGCTATTCCCAGTTGTCTGAAATCATCTGATGCTCGAAGTAAATAAACCAATATAAGAATTCTATGTTACCGAATCTAAATAGTATAGCACAGATCTTTCTAATCAAAATGGACTATCTCCTAGTTGTACAAAATCACCTGATCTCTCAAAGTAATGGTAAACCTGTCATCTTAGAAATATGTTACTGAGGCATACAATCTAAATAGTATACACAGATCTTTCTAATCTAACGTGCTATCTTCTAATCTGAAATCGTCTTAGCCTTCAAAGTCATAGAATTTACCATTTTAATAAATAAGGTCTATAAGTTTAAATAGCTATTTTGATAAAATTATAAAACCATAAATCTGGGAATCTAAAAAACCTTTAGTT